GTTAAGTTACAAGAGACCACAGGTGCCAAGCAGCCGTCAAGGTCAATCACGGAGGCGGTTAAGGCAACGCCTCCGCCTAACCAGAAGTCACGCATGTGGTGTGCACTCCACAAGTGAACAACTCACAACACACAGGAGTGCGCCATAGTGACGAAGGTCAGGAATTTAGACTATGGTGTACCCCAGGTGGCGCAGAAGCTAAAACAGAATCGTTCCCAAGACAAAAAGTCGGGGGAAGACCAGCGCCCGTCACAAGAAGATAGTAGCGCGATGTTACTCAGTCTGTCACTGGACAAGGAATTTCTTAGGAATGTTTTCACTAATTTCATTTTCGAAAAGCTTCTCTCGCATGAAGCACTGGTAACAGGGAGAGTTACAGCTATCAACAGTAATTTATACAAACAGTCAAATGCAGCCTTATAAGGGCATATAAATGACATAAATTGCACGAACGATAAAAGGTTGTTTATGTTCCTTCACGAGCAATTTCTTCACCAGAGGTATCTCATGTTGTAAGTCACTTTGAGTGACTGAGTATGTAACTGCAAATGCCTTCAAATCTTCTTCAGACAAGAATGTCTGTCCTTCTGGACAAAGAGCTGAAATCCCACAGAAAATTGCACAGGAATCATTGGAGAAACGCCTGTCTAATTCACTAATCAAACAGTCTAGGACTTCATAGAAGATGCCAATGTGCACATGACTCACGTCAGATCTTTGACCGGTCGTTTCCAGCACAATGAATTCATCATTCTGTCGAGGTTTTCTGGTTCGCTTTCGTGTCTTTGTTGGTGAAATGCTGCATTTCTCACAGAGCTCATCAATCACTTGACTCACTTCCTGGTCTTGGGAATGTTTTTGGAATTACAATTTTGAGAATAAAAAGTGAGGGGGCCAACCCAGGGGCCAGCCCAAAATCTGGGGGGCCATGGCCCCCCCTGTAGAATTGCCCCTGACTGTACTGTATTTCATTATAGACTTTTTTTTTTTTATCTATGTCGGACTTACGACCATTCCGACTTACAACCTGGATTTGGGTCCCGAACTCCGTCGTAAGTCGGGGAGCACCTGTAATTAGAAACAAATTATTTGTGAGAGTATTTTCCCATTATTACTTATTTGTATGTGTTTTGTGTGTGTGTATCTACACACACACACACACATATTTACAATACATGTAAACGCCTTGGTTAGGGACGTTCAGGTGATGGGCAAGTCGAAGGGAATGATTGAAACCCGCCTTTTGACGCATTCAATATTTATTGATGTGGTCAAAACCTGCAGAGGAGAAGGCGTTCATAATATTACATGATGATCCATGTGATACATAATTAGTCTCACACAATTTTATCATAATTACAATTTATTAAACATAGTGACATAACACAAAGTTCATAACTATTAACCTTGGCTACGCTTCATTCTGCATTGTCTTATTACTCCAGATAAGGCAGAAATGAGTAGGAGTAAAAAGTCAACAATATTTCAGTATTGCGGGGTATGTCATTACTTACGCTGTACTTACAAGTGCGGGTCAATGCAGATCAGTATGGTGTTCCAAGAAACAACAGTACTGTACTGCGTAAACTTTCCCAGCACAAATTCTCGGACAGGATTGTGAGTCGGTGTTCACCAGTGCAAGCAGAGGGCTGGTCCTCACAGCATCACTAGAGAGGGCGATCTCGCTCATGGCAGGGCAGGCAGCACTGCCACCCGCCGAAGACAGTCCACTCAGCAGAACCAGGACTTGTCTGCAAACACTTCTACATCTGGCGAGGTCAATGGTCAAAAGATTTAATGGCAACACACGCCAGCACTGTAGCTGAAGCCCACTGTGATAACAATAAAGGTAAAGCAAATTACTGTCTCTAGAGCAAATGGCTCCCTATCCCAGCCGCTAAAATGCAGGCAACTTTAAACTACCCACAGACATTCTTGGGTACATCCAGGGTGTCATCCGCGAATTACCGAGAACCGCGCAGTAAAATCCCGCGAACTTGGGGGGCATACTGTACTTCGCTTTGAACCACCCCAATTATGCAAGGTGGGGTTCTGTCTTCCTCCACAAACTCAGAGAAATTGATACCCATGTCTGTGAGATTCTGGAAGCTGGTGCACTCTCCATTCGATGAACAAGTAAATCCTATGCAAGATGGGCAGTTGACTTGACCTTAAAGCAAACGGTCAACAGGAAAGCAGCATCTCCCATGAAAGGCATTTCAGCTTTCAGAAACTCTGAGTGTGCCTTCAGAAGGTGGTCAGCCACTCTCATCCAACTTGGCATGGTCCTGTCAGAGCTCCATTAAATGGTTGGTCTCCAAGTGGGAGAGGAACCAACAAATCAGATGAATAATTGGAGAATTCAGCATGACAATGCTGACATGGATGCCCTTGCCAAGACCCTCAGCTGCACTTGCAACCCATTTACACCAGATTGTCCAGTTTCCCTTGTTAATCTCATCGGGGAAGAAAGCAAAGAATGACACAGATAATTTCTTCTTAACACATTGATACTGGCAGAAAACTTCGACTGAAATTTGAAGGCGAGTGTGCAGAATCTTGGTTGTTGTAAAAAAGACAAGAGAGACACTTAACTTGCAGCACATACGGAGTTATCCTATTACTGCAATGCCTCTCTCTCTTACTCATAGCGATGGAACTACCCTGAAGACAGACAAAGTTATCCTCACAAAAGCACTTGAAAGTAAACAACAAGTTGTGCTCATGGATAGTGATCTTCCCCCAATCAAGGCCACTATAATTGACAGTGGCAGCATCCTCTACGTAACCATTTTGAAACACAGCAAGTCCACATATGCAACCATGGCGAGGAATCTTCAAATAAAGATATGTTCCACTAGTGGAGAACAGATCCACATGGTATTTGACAAGTACCAGTCCCCATCCATTAAAGATTATGAGAGAAGTATGCGTGGGTTCTGGTGTTCATCAAGTAATTGTCATTACTGGGCCTGACCAGGCCCAAAGACAAAGTGGAATGGCGCTCCTCAAAAATGGTGCATTTAAGGAAGAGTTTGCCCATTTCCTTATGGAGGAGTGGAAGAAGCCTCCATATGGGCCAATCATTGACAGAAAAACTGTGTACATCTCACATGGTGGAAAGTGCATGGAGATGGAAAACAGTGAAGATGAAATGCTACAAACCCTGGAACCCAGTCGTCTCCAAGGTCAGCACAAGGAGGCAGACACTCTCATTGCATTTCATGGAAAGAACATTACTACTGGAAATATACTGGCAAGATCTACTGACACAGACGTCCTCATCATTCTTCTTGGGCTAGTCGGAAGCATGGAAGGGCTCAGTATCATGATGGACTATGGGTCAGGCAACCAGTGGAGATACATTTATGTCTCAGAAATAGCTGCCATTCTCGAGGAAAAGCATTCTGGACTCACTGAAGCACTGTTGGGGCTTCATGCCATAAAAGTTGTGATTTTACACAGTGCTTGAAGCAGAGGGAGCTCAGGGTCATGTGACGGCATTGTGATCTCTAACGTCTGAGGAAGTTGATGTTCCAGATGTTACTAGCTTTGTGTACTCGCTGTATGGATTTAAAACTTCCAATATAAATGAGGCAAGATATAAGGCCTTCCTACGCATGAGTGGTGATAATGAGAAGGAACCTCTGACCAGAGTCAAGATCAACTGTGCCTCTTTACCCCGGTGCACTAAGACAATTGGTAATCAAATCAAAAGGGCTCAATTTGTGGCAAGGCTTTGGAAAAGGGCTGATCAAACTGATCCGACTGGTAAAGTGAATACCACAGACTATGGATGGAAGGAAAATCAAAACTTTTTGGAACCAAACTGATACCCAGGTAGTTCAATCCCCAAATCCATCACAGACACTCCTAAGGATAATGTGGACAAAATCAGTGTTCTGTCAGTGGATGAAGAGAAATCAGACAATGCCTGGAGTAAGGACGGTGATAGTGATGAAGATGATTTATAATGTATTCAAGAGAACGTCCAATTGGAGTTGTACATTTTAAGTATGTACAGTACCATGATAATTATACTATATTGTTCAGTCAATTTCTTTAGTTATGAATAAAAGTGATTAATTTAATAATCTCTGAGAAAGATGACAGTTAAACATCTCAGTGATACTGTATTGTAAGAGTTATGTCATTACTGTTGGCGCTCTTTCATGTATTATGTCAGGTAGCCATATTAACACAATTGTAAATTTTTTTAATTTGATATTAAAGCATTTCTCAATATTGGCTTTGAAATAAGGCTCTTGTCATTATGACAGCTATTCATGGGTAACAAGTTAGAAGAATACAAAGTGATATCTCCGTTAGCTAAAACACTTGGTGCAAAGCACTTTTGGGAACGAGAGATTTCCGGGTGACGAGATGACTCTCAAAGCCGGAAAAAATCCCTCATCCCAGGAATTTTCCAGAATTTTCCATGAAACGGAAAAATGTTCTCGGAAGTTTCAGAAATTGACCATTACATCATGTCCTGTACCCGGAATAATATCCCCCATCCCCTAAATTTTCCGGAAAATGTGTCCTTTGGAAAATTTCAATTCTGACTATCGGAGAGTTCCGGGTTTGTGGGATTCCGGCTAACGGAGATATTACTGTAACTAAAAAGGCCAAAGGCATTGCTGGTGGGGATAAAGCCATACCTAAAATTGCTGCCATTGGTCATTTCACACTCAGTGGACCACAAAGAAAGGTTTGACACTGATTTTATCCTTGGTGCTCTTCCATTAAATAAATGCCACTTTTTATCCGCTTTCAAGGGTGATTTCAGGGGCAAAGCCACATCCTAGACCTGGCAGCAATCCATTTTTGGAATGTTGGGTGGGTGGTGCCTTCAGCCCATGAGGCCAAACATTTTGGTGTCTTACCAACCACAGGGTTTTTCAGGAACCTAACCACTGTAGTTGGCAAGGGATACTGTACTCCAGTATTCCAGCTGTAAGCTTATTCAATAAGGTTACAATAGAAATAAAAGTCTGATGACGAGATAATGTTAAAGTTTACTAAAAAAAAAAAGGGGTTTATATTTGCTTTCATTCACCATTTTTTTTATTACATCACCAAGGCAGTATATGCACACAATAAAGATCAGATTAAGATTTATGTTACATCTATAACTCAATCCAGCTGATGTTGAAACCTGGGTCAGAGCTCTGTATCATCATAATCAGGAGAAGAGCCTGACCTCTGTACAAGTCTGATTTGCTCTCCTTCACAGACTGCCTCTAGGCCAAGCTCCTGTAAGCCTGGATTCTCTGCAACACTCTTCAATTTTAACCCTTTCACAAAGAGCTGATTTTCAAGATTGCCTTCTAAGAGGTTACGTACAGCAAAAATGGATACCTCCTTTATCAGTGGGTTTCTGGCATCAAACTGTGAGCTCTCCAGCAGCAGAAGTATACCATTCATCTCTCGAACCTAAAAAAAAAATAAAGTAAAAAAATAAATTTATATATACAGTGGTCCCTCGATTAACCAACACAATTGGTTCCACAGAGTCATTTGTTAAACGAAAATTTTGTTAACTGAATCTATTATTTCAATGGGATATTTGGTAATTGGTTCCAACTCACAGAAAAAGTACATACAGTCGGCCCTTAACATACGTGGGTTTATAATACACGGATTGCCCCGCCGGAGGAATATTCTGTACATTGAAGTAATTGAAGTACATTCAAATCGCGCGCCATTCAACTCGGGCGCGGCACCGAACACGGGACACCGCCCGCTCCCTCAACCTCACACACACACACACACGCATAGCTCTCCCTCACTCAGTCAGTCTCGCTGTAACCACGCTTGTGTTGACATCAGCATTGTAGTTGCAAAAATATTACATGTCCGTGAATGTATTATATCAAGCACAGTATGAATAGAATATCACTAATATAAGAGTATTTTAACCGAAAACTACTAAAAAAACGAGTAACATATCTTGAACATCGGAAGGTTAGGTAAAGTCTTTTGTTTTCATGTAGTTTATCCTAATTTACATTGAAATGCATTACGTTTCAGCAAAACTACTATTTTTTTCTGAGAATATGGAAATGTAATATTTTGCTGAAATGACGTACGTATTACAGTGGAGAGTGACGAAAGCAATGACTCGCTTTCTTTCGTTCGAAAGATGTTACCGTAATCGCTTTTCGAATGGTTTTCAGTTAAAAAACTGTTGTATTACAACAATATTCTATCCTAATTCACTTGTGATGCAACAGTTTTTTTAACTGAAAAGCATTCGAAAAGCGATTATGGTAACATCTTTTGAACGAAAGAAAGCGAAAGTCATTGTTTTCGTCACTTTCCACTGTAATACGTACGCCATGTTTATTGTTTGTAAAAATGCACAGCACAGTACAGTTCAGTACTGTACATAGGAAGTGGAGGTGCAGTTTTTCACAAAACATTTGTGTTCGTTGTCGGCAGTAGTGACGGTGAGGAGGGAGCGGAGGGAGCGAGTTGGGAGGAGTGGTGGTGACCTTGATATGCTTATCATGAGAAATGGCCAAAACTATAAATTTAAGGTATATAGAAAGCCCACACAGGTAGACAGTTTCATTCACTTTTTATCAAATCACCTTGAGTCTACCAAAATGTCAGTTTTTTCTGCTATGTTCTTAAGATGTCTGCGTATTTGTGACCCTGAATTTATTGACGATGAATTGAAACACATACGTTCCATTGCACAGAAACTCGGGTACCCTTCTGTGTTTGTTGATCGTTGTTTTAAAAGGGCTAAAAAATCCTTTCATTCCTCTCAAACCAGACAAGTTCCTACACTTAAGAATATTTTGACTCGGCCCTATCGTAATGAATTTGTCCCGTTAGTTCGGTCCCTCAAGCTTCTAAATATTAATGTTGTTTTCAAGTATGACTCAACCATTACCAATATGTTGATAAGGAATAGCCCAAGTTTGAATGTAAATGGAAGTGTTTATTGTATTCCATGAAGCAAATGTAATTGTAATTATGTAGGACAGACAGGAAAAACACTGCAGCTCAGAATCAAACAACATAAGTATAATATCAGAACAGCATCTGAAAGCAGTGCCTTGTTCGTTCATGTTAGGAATAATAATCACCCCATTGCTTGGGAAAAAAGCTTAGAAGTATTTAAATCATCTTGTGCCACAGAAAGACTTCTGGTTGAAGCTAGTTTGATTAAGGAATTAAAATCAATAAACCTTAGTGATGGTCAGTTCAAAACTGATATGTTACATAAATTTATTTGTCAGTGGCCCAAGGTTAAAAATGCTTTGAAAACTTTTGATCTAAATGTATGACAGTTATTTTGTGGGTCCCTTATTTTTGACCTGACCTGACTAGTCATGTCACCCCCCTTCTCTTAAGCTCCTCTACGTGTGTGTTGGTGTGGGGATTAGTGGATGACATCATTATGACCTGACCTCATGTTTTTAAGGTCACCCTGTATATTTAAGCCTCTCTCTGTCCATGTAGTCCAGTTGCCTCTGAAGATGTCTTGAATAAAGACGAAAGCTAAGATGCTCCGTTGTTTCCATTTTCCCGTGTGATTTTATCAAGATTTATCTTATCCACGTTTTCATTGTGGATTTACATGAAATATATATACAGTAATACCCCGCTTAACACGGTTTCGCTTAGCGCGATTTCACGTATACGCGGTGCCTCGCCAGAGCCGAACTTTCACTTAACGCGGGTTTTTCCACGTATACGCGCAGAGTGTCCGGCTCCAGACGCTATTTTTAGATTCGCCCCACCCGCCACCCAGCCTGACTGCCTGCCTGTTTTAGCTCATAAAATTCATACAAATTACCTGGCCAGAATATAATTTACATTGCTGAAATTCTTACAATATGATGATCATTTTGAATATAAATATCATAGATTTTGCACTAGACATACAAATTTTAGATATGTTTACTCTGAGTAAATATGTTCTTTTTTGTGCAAAATATATGACATTTGTATTCAAAATATTTCTAGTCTTACAAGGAATCCAGCAATGTCAATTATATTATCCTAACTTTAATTTGAGGTATTATTTATTACTAAAAAGGTAAATATTCTGGTTTTCCCACACATCTGGTAGGGAGGGTTGGTAGGGGGTGGGGGGAGGGAGGGACAGACCGACCATCTGTTACCGTGTGAAGAATATATTTTATTTTTTATTAACTGAAGATATTTGTTTTAGCTCATAAAATTCATACAAATTACCCGGCCAGAATATAATTTACATTGCTGGAATTCTTACAATTTGGTGATTATTTTGAATATAAACATCATAGATTTTGCACTAGACATACAAATTTTAGATATAATGTTTACTCTGAGTAAATTTGTTATCTTTTGTGCAAAATATATGACATTTATATTCAAAATATTCCTGGTCTTACAAGGAATCCAGCAATGTCAATTGTATTATCCTAACTTAAGTTTGAGGTATTATTTATTAAAATTTAGTGGTTTTCCCCCCAAAATTTCTCAGAGAGGGAAGAGCCATTGAGTGTAGTGTGAGAAGAGGGGGAGGGAGTTGAGTCCATTATTTGAATGGACATTAACTTGGCGACTGTATTTCTCTATTTCTCTTAAGTATTAATTGTGTGCATGTACCATCATAAAATTAAGATGTTATTTTTACTAGAACATAGGTATTGTGTCGGAAAAAGTGGAGTTTGGGGGTCAGCCGGTCTCTATTGGAATTAATCCCATATGTTCTGTTGTTCACTTAGCGCGGTTTTCACTTAACATGGTACCCTGTGGGTTTTATTGACCGCGTTAAGTGGGGTACTACTGTGTGTATATATATACAGTTGGTCCTCACATTAAGCGGTCCCGCATTCCGCGTTTCACCGTTAACGCGGTGCCTTGCCAGAACCTAACATTTTCACATTCCGCGGTCGTGAACCCCATTACGCGGAAAGCAGCTGGCAAGCCGCGCCATTTTTGGATCCAAACCTCCCGCCATCCGCCATGTTGTGTAAGAGGCGCGAAAATGGTGCGCACAAGGTCGCCCAGTCATCAAAACATTACCGAGTTCTTCACCCGCCACCCACTACAGCCGGCCCAAGTCAGTGATAGTGATAATTATAGTGAGGATATGTACTTATATGAACTTTGGGGGGTTTGACAAAGAGGCCCTGCAAGCCTCTGTGGTGGATAGTGATACAATTGATACAAGTGATACAGGTGAGGGCCAATAATCTGCCCTCTGCCTCAGAACCAACCGCCCATCCCCGTGTGCCCAGCCATCTTTTCTACTAATGTAAGTGTTAAAAAACCTAATATTATTGATATTTCTCTTAATTATTAATTGTGTGTGCATACCATCATAAAGTTAAGATAATATTTTTACTACAACATAGTTGTGTGTCGTCAAAAAGTGGAGTTTGGGGATCGGCCTGGACTCTCTTTCAATTAATCCCATATGTTATGTTCCTCACTTTCCGCGGGACCCTCCGGGTTACATTAACCGCATAATGTGAGGACCAACTCTGTGTGTGTGTGTGTGTGTGTGTGTATATCTATCTATCTATCTATCTATCTATCTATCTATCTATCTATCTATCTATCTATCTATCTATCTATCTATCTATCTATCTATCTATCTATCTATCTATCTATCTATCTATATATATATATATATATATATATATATATATATATATATATATATATATATATATATATATATATATATATATATATATATATATATATATATATATATATATATATATATATATATATATATATATAAATTTTTAAGGCACTAGCACATCAAAAAGGATGTTAAAAATGTTAAAATGTGTATAACGAACGGTCGAAGACAAAAGTTGCGTTCGAATGAAGCCTATCTATCATTTCTTTGTTTTGTAGCAAACAGAAAGTTAACAAACAAATAACACCAAACACATAGCACAATAGACAATTACCTACAGTTTGTAAAGGCTAAATATATCGCAAATCATTGTTTAACTGAAAAAATTGTTTCAAATTTGCGCAGTTCGAGGGGAGGTACGCTCAGGGGAGCAGCCACAGGGACGAGGCGAACTGCAGAGTTGACAACAATCTTTAACATCATTTGCATTTTTGTTTTCATAATTTTTAACATTATTATAGAGAAGAACAGGTCTGATAATAAATAGTGAACACATTAGTATGAATAATTAGACAGCGAAACGAACATTTGATATGAACCAATCAGCTCGCTTATAGAAATGAGGGCGTGGCGTCTGGGCCAAGCTAGTGTAAAGTGAGTATAGTGTCAAGGTCCAAGCACTGCTTGCTTCCTCTCGCTTTCAGCTACCGCCGCAGGCTAGCCCTCATCAGGGGCGGATTGAGGGAATATCAAAAGGGGTAAGGTTCAAGATGTCACGGGTGGGGGAACATGGCGAGCGCAGCGAGCCCACTCAGCTGGGGGTCAATGTACCTCCCCC